CCAATAAGATTGCAGCAAATGTACACGCACGTGTATGCATGTGCATGGTGACCATACCTACTTGTAGAAGTCCATTATATCCATCTATGTTCCAAATCTCATCCTGTTTGGTTGAAAACCAAGGAAGTTATAGCTGTTTAAAGTTTCAGCCAATCAGATTGCAGCGCACGTGCATGCACGTGTTTTCATGATAATTGCTTTATTTCATGTTGTAGGATATCCTAATACATGGCTATGTTCAAAATTTCAAAGGATTTCGTCAAAAAACAAGAAAGATATTGAGACTTTAGTTGCAGCCAATCAGAGCGAAGTGCACGTGCATGCGCGTGAGATCTTGCTATTTTCACCATGTCGTCATGTCTATACTACTAATATATCCTCACATTATAAGTTTCAAAGCATTTCATTTAAAAATAGAACAGTTGTGGCTATATCTATTATATTGGTCATTTCACGTGTTGCACGTGCACGCTCTTGCAAGCACGTGCGCGCAAAATGACCTTGATTCCGCAAATCTACATAACATGTCTACTAACCCTAAAAAGGTTTTACCTACATCGGACGAACAGTTTACAAGATCATTCCCGGACAAAAAAGTTCCAGGAAGAAGAAGAAAAATAATAATAATAATAATAATAATAATAATAAGAAACAGAGTAAAAACAATATGTTCCCCAACTTCGTTTGGGGAACATAATAACTAGATACGATCTCGTTGCGAGCAACGAGTGGGTCTTCCGTCCAATTCTTGATGAGATGAGATAAGATTTTGATTGCGATTTTCATTCTAAAATAATGACTTACCACAATCCGTAAAGACATTGAACATTAAAGACTTGAAAAATCGGCCTTTGGCCCCTAACGGCCCCAAATTTTAGGAATCGGCCCTTTTTATTCATATCATCTTAAAGCTCTTAAGATTTTGAACATTTTTTGCTCAACAACTATTCAGAAATTCTTTTTCGTTTTTGAGCTATTAGCAAAAGAAATATTTAGGGGCCAACCCTTCAACTCCTTAATTGGGATGTTTAGCAAAAAATGAAAGGTTGCATATTGTTCAGAACAATATTTTGAACATCTTTTATTCAATATTGCTTATCAAAATATTTCTTCCTTTCGAGATATAAAGCATCAAAGATTTGGTATTCTGGCCCCTTGTGGCCCCTAATTATGTACCATACGACATAAAAATCATAATATATAGTTGTAGATGGTTAAGATAAACATCTTTGCTTCAGTAATGTATAACAAAATATTAACTGAAAAAGAGTTATCAATTGAAGACTTCTGGCCCCTCTTGGCCCCTAATTCAAGTGCCCAGCCCCTTTTTCGGGATCTCATCTTAAAGCTCTTAAGATTTTGAACATTTTTTATTCAATAACTATTCAGAAATTCTTTTTCGTTTTTGAGCTATTAGCAAAAGAAATATTTAGGGGCCAACCCTTCAACTCCTTAATGGGGACGTTTAGCAAAAAATGAAAGGTTGCATATTGCTCAGAACATTATTTTGAACATCTTTTGTTCAATATTGCTTATCAAAATATTTCTTCCTTTCGAGATATAAAGCATCAAAGATTTGGTATTCTGGCCCCTTGCGGCCCCTAATTATGTACCATACGACATAAAAATCATAATATTTAGTTGAATATTGTTAAGATAAACATCTTTGCTTCAGTAATGTATTACAAAATATTAACTGATAAAGAGTTATCAATTGAAGACTTCTGGCCCCTCTTGACCCCTAGTTCGAGTGCCCAGCCCCTTTTTCGGGATCTCATCTTAAAGCTCTTAAGATTTTGAACATTTTTTATTCAATAACTATTCAGAAATTCTTTTTCGTTTTTGAGCTATTAGCAAAAGAAATATTTAGGGGCCAACCCTTCAACTCCTTAATGGGGACGTTTAGCAAAAAATGAAAGGTTGCATATTGCTCAGAACATTATTTTGAACATCTTTTGTTCAATATTGCTTATCAAAATATTTCTTCCTTTCGAGATATAAAGCATCAAAGATTTGGTATTCTGGCCCCTTGCGGCCCCTAATTATGTACCATACGATTGATTGATTGATTGTATATTGTTTAACGTCCCTCTTTGTACCATACGACATAAAAATCATAATATATAGTTGTCGGTTGTTGAGATAAACATTTTTGCTTCATTAATGTATAACAAAATATTGACTGTAAAAGAGTTATCGAAAAAAGACTTTTAGCCCCTTTTGGCCCTTAATGTGATGAGTCAGCACTTTTTTATGATATCATATTAAAGATCTCGTCATTCTGCACAAATATTGCTCAGTATGTTTTAGCAAAATAATTATACTTTAAAAGATATTATGCAAAATGTCTCAAAATTTCAGTCATGATTCATGTCCTAATTTTTGACCTCTACCGAGCTTCCATACTAAGAACTTCCGGAATATTTGAAAGTATAGGTGCAAAACTATAATATGTTGTCTATCAGTCCTGAAAAGGACAGCATTCTACCTTTTGTCGTTTTTGAGTTTTTGTCCGGACAAAATGGTCACTAAAAATTCGATTAAAGGGCTATAACTTCCGACCGGAAGTGATTTTTCGGAAAATAAAAAAAAAGTATCAGGTTTAGTTCATGATACATCATTCCTGAAAATTTCAAGACGATCCACTCAAGCATCTCTGAGAAATCGTCTGCACAAAAATGTGTAAAGAAAAAAATAATAATAATAATAATAAAAGTGAAAAAGAAACAATAGAATAATAGAAGGGTCTTCCGTTGGAGACGGAAGACCCTAATAATAATAATAATAAGAAACAGAGTAAAAACAATATGTTCCCCAACTTCGTTTGGGGAACATAATAATAATAATAAGAAACAGAGTAAAAACAATATGTTCCCCAACTTTGTTTGGGGAACATAACTAGATGCGTTCTTGTTGCTAGAGCAACAAGCGGTCTTCCGACCGACTTTTTGTTAGCTGCCTCATCCAATGAAATAGATTTCAGAATTTTTTTTGTTTACGTTCATTTACAGCAGTCTCTCAACATATATCATGATTATTACAGGTAAACCTCAAAATATCTTTAAATATAGCTTTTAAAAATCGCCAAAATATTTCATACATGTTATAAAAGTGAGAAAAGGTATTTGCAATTGAAAAATGACAGAAACAAAGAAAAAATTTGGGAACGCCCACGGCGGGATTCGAACCCCCGACACTGGGACAAAGTTTGGTCCGGTCATATCTGTTCAATAAGTGCACGCATCAAGACATGGAACACATATTTAGAATTCTCATTAGACACACTATAAACCCTGTAAATCCTAAAGAAAAATATCGAAAAACAAAAAAGTTGAAAAATGGGACTTTTTGAATTCACTTCCGTTTGCGACCGGGAGTGCCGACGACGAAAAATAAAGGTCGTTGTTCAGATTGGAGTTCGATGTTCTATTAGCTCAGTGAGTTTCACTTTCATATCTTCAGTCGTTCTCGAGAAAACTGCTGGACAAAATGCCTTTTAAAAAAACAAAAATCCCCCAAAATCACGAACGAAAGTGAATTTCGAAAAAATGAAAAACATCTAGAGATATTCTCATGATGCATCATCCCTGTAAAAATATTTTAGATCTGTCCACGCACAGCTGAGATATCGCTCTAACTATGAAAAAAAGAAAAATAATAATAACTAGATGCGATCTCGTTGCGAGCAACGAGTAGATCTTCCGTCCGAATTTTCGATAAGATGAGATATGACTTTGACTATGATCTTTGATAAAACATCATGGAATCATGCCTTTTCTCTTTTGATTAAATCCTTTTGATTTAGATAATATCATCAATGCATACTTAATTTGCACATTAATTCTTTTCTTTTTTCTACTTTGAGAAACAACCAAAACCAATTAAAGAAGACTTGTAAGGAGACCTTGGATTATGAATGTAGTTTGACACAGAATTGCAACGAACCTACGACGTGACAATCCAAGTATCCCTACACATTTCATTGCTCCTTATGTTACTTTCGTTCAAGCAAACGCTCGGCTGCCTCTGTTAACCGCTATTGCGAAATGTCGGAATTGACAAAGACCGCCGCCATTTAGTTCCCGCTTCAGATTTTTGAATGTTAATATCTCGAGTTTGAATTTATAAATTTACAAACGAATTATATATTCAGCCTAATAAGAAATGTTTCTATCAACTATACTTATATCATTTGAAAATATTGAAAAACAAAAAAGTTAAAGACGAGAGACTTTTGGCCCCTCTATGCCCCTAATTTGAAGGACTAACACCGTTTACTTGATATCAAATGAAAGGTCTTACTATTTTGCACATTTTTTATTATATATGTCTTAACAAACTATTAACAGGTAAAAAGATATAAATGAAAACGTGTCAATTTTTGCGAGATGAGTATGTGGCTATTTTTCGAGCCCAGGCGAGCGTCGATGCCTTCTTACCTGGAAAGCTCTATATGCAAAATGTCACATCTACTATCCTTCCTCTACCTTCACTGAAAATCTTAAGTCGATATCTTAAGTCGTTTAGGAGGAGATCTCAGGACAAGCTGACCCTCTAAAAATCAGTAAATCGTCCTTATCTCACGACCGGAAGTGACGACGTACTTACGAAAAATTTCCGACAAGGTTCAGATAAATATCTATCAGATCTGAAAATTTGGCGAGAATCCGTCCAGCCGTTTCTGAGAAATCGCGTGCACAAAATCGGTAAGAAAAATAATAATAATAATAATAATAATAATAATAGGGAAAAAGAAACCGAACGAAAACAATAAGGTCTTCCGTTGGAGACGGAAGACCTTAATAATAATAATAAGAAGAAACAGAGTAAAAACAATATGTTCCCCAACTTCGTTTGGGGAACATAATAAGCATTTCAGACCAAAACGGGGCTTCAGCTGGATGCACGGCATGTTGTGACAGTGACAACATAGAGAGTCCCCTAAGATTGTGGGGGGTTTTTTTGTTCCTTTTTTGGTGTTCAGTTTGTTATATTTGAGTTTTTATATATTTTAGAGGCATTCATCAATGTCATTACTAATGACAAACAGGAGAAACGGAGACAGAAGATGGAAAGACTGATCTTCACAGACAGCAGTCAAAAAAAAGCAAAAGAAAGCATTCAGTAAGTCTAATTTACTAAAATCCTATATGAAAAAGTGATCTTTTGCGATTTATTTTTAAATTAATTTGCCTACATTTCAAAGATATTTGTTAATTTATAGTCTTCTTTCATCATGTACAGCAGGATTGTAGAGGAATTAAATATTATTTGAAATTCTTGATATTTCGTGTCAATGGCTATTTCTACAAAACTAAGGTCACAAAGTTCATTATCATTGATACTTGTACAGATATGTTTTTAAAAAGTCTGTATGATTAACTATGCGCTTTTTCCCTCAGAAACTGGAAATAAGATAGAAAGCCGTGGAACATCTAGACGAGTCATGGACCCCAACATCTAAAAAGAACTTGACGGAGTGCATTCGGTTGGACATAACTTCACCCGAGAAGACTGATGACAAAGACTCAACAAAGAGGGTCAGGCTCCTATTTTCCTGGGAATCAACCAGACTGTGCAAGGGAAAAGAGGCACTGGGCAAGGCATATTGACACAAGGTCCTGAAGACCGAATCTGCCAGACGCCAGTTGGTATTTGTAAGGGATGGTAGAGAGGACACAACAACACCTCCTCCTGAGAAGTGTTCAGCTTGGGCCATTTCCAGGGACTACTCCTCACAGAGGTAATTAATTTTCTCAGATACTTATTTATTTTTACCTTTCTTAGTATTGTGTAAAACTTTTATAAATTCATTTAACATTTAACCACTTGTGTACTATCATTATAAGAAAAGATGCAACATCAAACAAAAGAAGGGTAAAATAGACAATGTGACCTCTTTTTGGGAAATTATGCCTGTACATCCTTAAATAATTTGTGGATCATATCTTATCTTTGAATCTGAGAGAATCTGATTTTGGAAATTTAACATATCATATGTTTTATAATAACTCACATCCTTATGACCAGAAAACTTTTTTTTTAATGGAGATAAGAATTACTGTACAATCAGTTTAATTCATGGGGGGTTAACGTTTGTGGATTAGTAAAATTTTGTTGGTTCTTGGGAATGTAATTTCGTCAGTAATTTATATATTCAGAAGATTCAGTGAACAACATTTCTGTTAAACATTTTCTTCCCAACTTCCCTAGAAGGACAGCTTATTCAATGAATGGGATGTATTATAAACACCAAAATATTACTTCAGCTAAATTTTAACTATTTTTTTTTATTCCTTGTAGGTCAAACGAGGTTTCAGCCATCAAGAAGATACAAGAAAAAAGAACTTTTTAATTCTGTGGTTGTGTATTTCCAGATGTAAATATTTATGTTCCCCAAACAAAGTTGGGGAACATATTGTTTTTACTCTGTTTCTTATTATTATGTTCCCCAAACGAAGTTGGGGAACATATTGTTTTTACTCTGTTTCTTATTATTATTATGTTCCCCAAACGAAGTTGGGGAACATATTGTTTTTACTCTGTTTCTTATTATTATTATTATTTTTCTTCTTCCTGGGTACTTATTTGTCCGGGAGTGATCTTGTAAATTACACATCCGACTTAGGTAAAACCTTTTTAGGGTTAGTAGGCATGTTATGTAGATTTGCGGAACGAAGGTCATTTTGCGCGCACGTGCTTGCAAGAGCGTGCACGTGCAACATGTGAAATGACCGATTTAATTGATATAGGCGTAACTTTTTACATTTTTGATGAAATGCTTTGAAACTCATAATATAAGGATATATTAGTAGCATAGACAATATGACATGGTCAAAATCGCAAGATCTCACGCGCATGCACGTGCACTTCGCTCTGATTGGCTGAAACTAGACTCTCTATATCTTTCTTGTTTTTTGACGAAATCCCTTGAAATTTTGAACATAGCCATACATTAGGATATCTTACAACACGATATATAGCAATTATCATGAAAACACGTGCATGCACGTGCGCTGCAATCTGATTGACTTAAACTTTAAATAGCTATAACTCCCTTGATTTTCAACCAAACAGGATGGGATATGGAACATAGATAGATATAATGGACCTCAACAAGAAGGTATGGTCACCATGCACATGCATACACGTGCGTGTACATGTGCTGCAGTCTGATTGGCTGAAACTTTAAACAGCTATAACTCCCTTGTTTTTCAACCAAACGGGGTGGGATTTAAAATATAGATAGATGTAATGGACTTCAACAAGAAGGTATGGTCACCATGCTCATGTATGCACGTGCGTGCACGTGAAATGAGTAAAATAAAAAATACGCTTGAATGAGCGTATTTTTAAATACTTTTGGATTAAATACTTTAGTATTTAGTATATTAAAATATATAGATTCTGTAGACAATATGATATGGTCATTACGCACATGCATTCACACGCGCACGCGTGCAGTGCTAAAATTTGAATGAACTTGGTACACTCCTGGGTAAACGTTGTTAAAGTCTCAAATGCATATAGAGTTTGTCTTATTTAATGAAGCTTACAGGGGATATGGCACCAAAAGGGAGTTGGGGAGCGTTTGGGGAACATCTGTAACGGTCCCCGTTACAATTAGCACTAGTTATTCTTATTATTATTTTTCTTCCTGGGAAAATTTTGTCCGCGAGCGATCTTGTAAACTACACATTCGACTTCGGTGAAACCTTTTTAGGGTAAGTAGGCATGTTATGTAGATTTGCGGAATCAAGGTCATTTTGCGCGCACGTGCTTGCAAGAGCGCGCACGTGCAAAACTTGAAATGACCAATATATAAAGGATATAACCGTAACTTTTCTATTTTTTGACGAAATGTTTTGAAACTCATAATGTAAGGATATATGAGTAATATGCGCAAGATGACATGGTCAAAATAGCAAGATTGCACGTGCAAGCACGTGCGCTTCGCTCTGATTGGCTGAAACTAAAGTCTCAATATCTTTCTTGTTTTTTTATAAAATCATTTGAAATTTTGAACATAGTCATACATTATGGAGATCTACAGCCTGTAATAAAAGAAATGTCATGAAAGCATGTGCATGCGCGTGTGCTTGCAAGAGCTCGCACGTGCAACACGAGAAATGTCCAATATAATTGATACAGACGTAACTATTTAAATTATTGATGATATGCTTTAAAACTCATATCAGAAGTATATATTAGTAGCATAGGCAATATGACATGGTCAAAATAGCAAGATCTCACGCGCATGCACGTGCGCTGCACTCTGATTGGCTGAAACAAAAATCTCAATATCTTTTTTTGTTTTTTGACAAAATGCTTTGAAATTTTGAACATAGCCATGCATTAGGATATCCTACAATATGATATATAGCAAGTATCATGAAAACACGTGCATGCACGTGCGCTGCAATCTGATTGGCTTAAACTTTAAATAGCTATAACTCATTTGGTTTTCAACCAAAGAGGATGAGATCTGAAACATAGATAGATATAATGAACTACTACAAGAAGGTATGGTCAACCTGCACATGGATACACGTGCGTGTACGTGCGCTGCAATCTGATTGGCTGAAACTTTAAACAGCTATAACTCCCTTAATTTTCAACCAACCAGGATGGGATTTGGAACATAGATAGATATAATGGACTACTACAAGAAAGGTATGGTCACCATGCACATGCATACACGTGCGTGTACGTGCGCTGCAATCTGATTGACTGAAACTTTTAACAGGTATAACGCCCTTGGTTTTCAACCATACGGGGTGGGATTTATAACATAGATAGATGTAATGGACTTCTACAAGAAGGTATGGTCACCGTGCTCATGTATGCACGTGCGTGCACTGAAATGAACAAAATCAAAAATACACTTGAGCGTATTTTTTATTACTTTTGGATTAAATACTTTAATTTTTAGTATATTAAAATATATGGATTGTGTAGACAAAATGATATGGTCATTACGCACAGGCATTCGCATGCGCACGCGGGCAATGCTAAAATTTGAATGAACTTTGTACACTTCCGGGTAAATGTTGTTAAAGTCTCAAATACATAGAGTTTGTGTTAATGATGCTTAAAGGTAAAAGGCACAAAAAGAGAGTTGGGGAGCGTTCGGGGAACATCTGTAACGGTCCCCGTTACAATTAGCACTAGTTATTATTCTTATTATTATTATTATAATTTTTCTTCCCGGAAAAATCTTTTCCGCGAGTGATCTTGTAAACTACACATCCGACTTAGGTGAAACCTTTTTAGGGTAAGTAGGCATGTTATGTAGATTTGCGGAATCAAGGTCATTTTGTGCGCACGTGCTTGCAAGAGCGCGCACGTGCAAAACTTAAAATGACCAATATATAAAGGATATAACCGTAACTTTTCTATTTTGTGACGAAATGTTTTGAAACTTATAATGTAAGGATATATTAGTAGTATGCACAAGATGACATGGTCAAAATAGCAAGATCGCACGCGCATGCACGTGCACTTCGCTTTGATTGGCTGAAACTAAAGTCTCAATATCTTTTTTGTTTTTTGATAAAATCATTTGAAATTTTGAACATAGTCATAAATTAGGGAGATCTACAGCCTGTAATATAAGATTTATCATGAAAGCATGTGCATGCACATGTGCTTGCAAGAGCTCGCACGTGCAACACGAGAAATGTCCAATATAATTGATACAGACGTAACTATTTAAATTATTGATGAAATGCTTGGAAATTCATATTATAAGTATATATTAGAAGGATAGACAAAATGACATATGGTCAAAAAAGTAAGATCTCACGCGCATGCACGTGCGCTTTGCTCTGATTGGCTGAAACTAAAGTCTCAATATCTTTCTTGTTTCTTGTCATAATCCTTTGAAATGTTGAACATAGACCTACATTATGAAGATCTACAGCATGATGTATAAGAATTTTCATGAAAGCATGCGCATGCCCGCCTGCTGCAATCTGATTGGCTGAAACTTTAAATGGCTATATCTCCTTTGTTTTTTGACGAAATGCTTTGAAATTTAAAACATAGTCATGCATTAGGATATACTACAATATGATGTAGAAAAAAAATCATGAAATCACGCGCATGCACGTGTGCTGCAATCTGATTGGCTTAAGCTTAAAATGGCTATAACTCCCTTGTTTTTCAACCAAACAGGATGGGATTTAGAATATAGATAGATATAAGGGACTCCTACAAGAAGGTATGGTCATCATGCACGTGCACGCATTAAGATATTAAGATATGTAGATAGTGTAGACAAAATGATATGATCATAACGCACATGCATACACTTGAATGAGTGATTTTTTATTACTTTTGGACTGAATGCTTTAATATATAGTTATTAAAATATATAGATAGTGTAGACAAGATGATATGGTCATAACGCACATGCATTCATATGCGCTTGGGTGCAATGCTAAAATTTGAATATAATTGGTATCCTTTTGGGAAAACGTAATGCACAGAGTTTGTCTTATTTAAT